TTGTTTAGGATTTGGAAATCTTTTGTTTGTTGCCCATCATAGATGTTTGTTTCATTGTCACTGTCTTGGGTTTTAATGTGTAACTTGTCATCTTTCCTCCTCTATCAAATGTACATCTGGACTGTAGAAGGTAAATAAGTAGATATAACTGCTGTGGAAGGAGAGTCCGGAGTGATCTGTAAAGTTAACTCCAAACATTTAGCTGCTATGTTGATGGCTAATGCTATTGACCAGTATGTGATTGGAAGTAATTCTTACAGGCACCTCTGTTCAATCCCACTCAAGTAGTGAAACTAGCGTGCTCACTAATAGTGAAGTGTTGGACTATGTAGTAATCAGTAGAACAAGCTATATTGCAATTGCTCTCTGAAAATGGTTTACAAATTCAGGCGACAGTCAGATAGACTGTTTTCATGGGGCTTAGTTTACATCCCCACCATAAAAGTATTTCAGAGAGCAGTTCTAGAACTTGATAGTGTTAGTCGAAAGTTCTCATTTTTGTCCAATCTTTTGCCTTTTTTCGCCTCCCTTGGATGTTTACAGAAGTGAAAGACTTTAGGTTTCAGAAGGTAGAGTGGAAGTCAGCATGGTGTGCTGATGTGATCCACTTTTACCAGTTACTTGAAGTGCTTTGCATGTTCAATCCCAATGCCTCACCTCTCTTGCAGATATTTAAAGGACCCTGTGTTTCTAACATGGATGAAAATATCTGTTTTAATTTATGTACTTGAATTGTTCCAGTCAGCTTATTTGACTTCTAAATCACTACTAATGTGTAGCATGCTGTTGTGTGGTTAGCATTCACTCACTTGAGGTAAACTAGCCACTTGACTGCATGTCTGCAAGTATGACAGGACCCACTGGAGTATTCAGAAACAACCTCTCCCTTGAAGTGAGAGTTTGTCCTTGATAAACATTAGGAGATTTTGTATGGGTAGTTTGTGTATGAGTGTTGAAATGTTGTATCAATCTCACTGTAATATGTATTGTCTTTCCTCTTACAGTAAGACCTTCAGGGAAGACCATCGGCCTGAAAATGTTCTTGTACATTGTCAACAAATAAATTCTTTAAAAAAAGTGGATCCTGGTGTCTTTGAGTGCTCAATCAGAAATTGTGTTCAACAAGGGAGACATGCATGCAGTCATGGCCAAACGTTTTGGCAGTGACAAATTTAGTTTTGCAAAGTTTGCTGCTTAAGCTGTTGTGTTCATTCACATTGTTTCTAGATTGTTTAGAGTGATCAGATGCATTTTAAATAATTGCCAAAAGCTTCATTGGCCAAAAAAGTAACTTTTCACAAAAAAATAAAATAAAATTCACTGTTTTTTGATCCTGACACAAAATGACCAGCTAACATTAATTGACTAATCATATCAGCAGCACATGTGAAAGTGTGAATGAATACTAGTCAGGCAAAATCACGATCATACTAATTACACTGAACAAAATTATAAACGCAACACTTTTG